GCGTTGGTCACTTTGTAGTGTGCGAACACGTTTGTAGTGGAAGACGAATGCCGCTCTGTCAACGGTAAATTGTATTTGCATGTTATATTTCCCGGGAGATTTCAATTCACAGGAAATCTGTTCCAAGTTTCTGCGAGAAGATGTAGGGCGGGTAAAGCTACGCAAGAGTTCAACTTCCTGCGGTAGATTTATTCCAAATCATCCATTTCACCTATGTCTCGAACTGTGTCGAGGATTGTATAATATCAACAGCTTTATGGACTATTGCCTCAGGTTATGGCTTGGCTGCCATCAACTATTTCTGTCTGCCTGGTTATGGCTTGGCTTCCATCAACTATGTCTGTCTGTCTGATTATGGCTTGGCTTCCATCAGCTATTTCTTTGTCTGGGTAAGGCTTGGCTTCCATCAGCTATTTATGTCTCTTTGGTTATGGTATGGCTTCCATCAACTACTTTTGACTGTCTGCTTATGGCTTTCTTTCCATCAACTATTTCAGTCTGGTTATGGCTTGGCTTCCATCATCCATGGGTATGGCTTGGCTTCCATCAACTATTTCTGTCTGTCTAGTTTGGCTTCCCCTAACTTTTTCTGTCTGTCTGGCTATGACTTGGCGTCCATCAACTATTTCTGTCTGTCTGGGTATGGCTTGGCGCCCATCCACTATTTCTCTCTGCTTATGGCTTGGCTTCCATCATCCATTTTTGTCTGCCTGGTTACGGCTTGGCTTCCGACAACTATTTCTGTCTGTCTAGTTTGGCTTCCCTATACTATTTCTGTCTGTCTGGTTATAGTTTGGCTTCCATCATTTATTACTGTCTGTCTGGTTATGGCTTGGCTTCCATCAACTATTTCTGCCTATGTGCTTATGGCTTGGATTCCATCAACTATATCTGTCTGTCTGGTTATATTTTGGCTTCCATCCTTTATTTCTGTCTGTCTGTCTGGTTATGGCTTGGCTTCCATCAGCTATTTCTCTCTGTCTGTTTTGGCTTCCATCAACTATTTTTGTCTATTTGCATATGGCTTGGCTTCCATCGTCCAATTCTGTCTCTCTGCCTCTGGCTTGGCTTCCATCAACTATTTCTGTCTGCCCCCCTCCCCCCATTACCCTTAGCCTGGTTCTTCCGTTACCCCTACCTACTGCCTTTGCTGACCTCTTAATTGTATTTGACTATTACTTAAAGGGTATCTATGGTCAAAAACCTATAACTTGTCTCAAACAAATTCAGCATAATAAAAATATCATTTTCCAACTAACTGTTTACCTTGTTCCTGTTCTTTTGTCTGCAGCTCTAGATTTCTTCACTCTATTTTTGGCATCTTCGGAAAATATGTTGCTTTTAGTTTTGAATTCCTACTTCTTCTTTCTAATTTAAAATGTAAACAGGCCAGGCATTTACACATTCTTAACAAGCAGCAAGCAAGCTTTAAAACAAGCCCTCACTGGCCTCCGTAGCTGCAGGCACTGTGGGGAAATTCATTCCTAAAGTTTACAGCAGAAGAATTAAAGCTGCTTAAAGGAGAACTATGGGGTTAAGGCTTTTCCCCATAGTTCTCCTTAGGGTAACGGGAGGACACAAACTAGCGTTCTCCCGTTACCCTAAGCTCAGTATATAGGGAGCTACAGCTCGCGGTATACTGAGACGCCCCAGCTGAAGCGGATCCCGACAATTGTGCCGTGATCCGCCCAGCTGCGTGACTGACAGCTGGCTCTGCCTATCTAAAGGCAGAGCCAGCTGTACCCGCCCCCTCCCCCGTCCGTTCCGCCAGTCAGCGGATCGGAGCGGGGAGGGAGGAATCTAGCCCCTCCCCTGTCACGGCAGTGAGCCGTGACAGGATCGAGAGGTGAGCGAACGCCGGTATGTGTTCGCTCACCTTCCGACCTACTGAGCCGACCTGTGACAGTCTCATTGTCACAGGTCAGCTCAGTAGATCGGGGGGTGAGTTCAAAAGACAGTCTCATTGTCACAGGTCGGCTAGAACTATGAGGTGAGTGAAAATCACTCACCTCATAGTTCTCCTTTAAAGAACAACTCAGTTTAAACATTTTATTAACCCTTATTAACCCTTAATCCACACTGCAAGGGTTAAGTGCTTGTTTTTGCCTAAGTTCAAAAATGTATAATAAGTTATAAATTGACCCACTCTGTATGGACAATATGGCAACATGCCGACTCGGCAAGATCCATAGGCAGCGATGACTCACTGAGAAGACTCAGAAGTGGAATGCAATTCAGTTTATTTCAACCTGGCACGTTACAAAATATGTTTTTCCTTGTTTTCTTGAAGATGAAAAGACATTCTGATCTTGAAATCTCTTTACTCAACAAAGGTTTCACCGAAAATAACTGAAGAGCATTGGAGAGGATGGGAGTGTCTAGCTAGGGGCTAAACAACTAACACAAAACAGAGGGTGGTACGGTGGAACATTCCAAGTACCATATAAAGTGGTCACCCTTGCCCATAGTCCTTTGTAATATAACATGGAACTGGTGTGGCTAAACTATGACACCTGAACCACCAGCATCCCCTTGCCCTTGTAGCCCCTTGTGGTCATTCTAGGAGAACTATTCAACGTACAAAGTCATTTCCGCAAAGTTTTTCCCAAGAGAAGAAAATCCCTTTTCCTGAGTTGTATGGCTCATTCATTAGTCCATATGTTCAGTGCAGGAAGTACAGTTCGCTCTGATCATTCACAATTTCGCTGGTCTCTATGGAAACAACCAGAAAAACTACAATTGCTATAAAAGGATGCCGGAACAGGAAAGAAAAAAAAATCTGAGCAGTTTAAAATATCTCCGAAAATATTAGATAACTCCTTCACCCTTCAATCACTGAGCTGAAGTGCATTTTTATTGTGTCTCCAATAGCAACTGTTAGCTTTCAGCAAGCAAACGGCACACTGCGAACGTAGGCGTACATATTGATTCGGATGGGACTGAAGAAAGACTGACTGTACTCACAGATTGTGTACAATTAATACAATAGAACAGAGACAGATTTAGCAGCAATGGACAATAGACCCACCACGTTCCCTCGGAATAACTAATCTTTGTGTGTAGAAAAAGGCACAGACTGAGGTGACGGGACTGTGCGTGGGGGCAGAGAACAATCTGCGGAAGCGCACATTCATATTTGGTCTGTGTTGTAAGGAATGCCTTATTTATTCCGAGGGAAGTCTTAAAGGAAACCTGCATTGGGTGATGTATATAGGCTGTCCTTCCTGTCTTCCCAGAAAATGCTAGTTGCCGCATGCAGTCTCTTGCTGCCTATTGTGTGACCCAATGGCCCCAGTGGACCTTAGTCAAAGCTTGGAGCTTATTCAGACCAGTGAATAAAAATTGCACTCCAGTAAGCCATAGAATATTATCCTCCTTCCCAGATAGCAAGGTCTAAATGCTTGTTTAGTCAATAGGAAGTTTAAAGTAGAGGAGTATTTACCTTATTCCTTACTCCCTTGTCAGGTGGCTCTGCCCCCAGCTCCCGCAAATTGAGTGGGCCCTCAACGCCCTCATGTATAATACAAGACCGATTGTGATGACGTTGGAAGAGGGGGTGCAAGAGCGAGGAATACGATAACCTAAACGTACCAAGCGTTTAATCCCTGGCTTTCAGGTGGGGAGCGATGAAAGGGGAGGTTTAAGGCAACACTCATTCTTTTTGGCTGAGCTTTGGAGCTTTTCAAAAGTTCAGCTTTCATTTTTTTGTTCCCAATTTATTTTTTTGCTGCATTCCATTTTGTCATTTGTATGCACTTTTTTTTCCTTCTGACCTTTTATGATGGGTCTTGCTGAGAGGAATAGCACATGCGGCACCAGTTATCTTTAGAGCCTGTGTTGACCAACATTCAACTGCTTCCCTCCCCATACAAGTCAATGGGAACCCAAGAGCACCTTGAAGCAGGTTAATGCAGTTTTTAAAAAGGTCAGAAGGAGGTCAACTGTGGGTCATCCGCAGCTGTCAGAGATCTGTGAATGATTTTAGAAGCATCTCAAACTGGTCGCAAATGCAAGCAGAATGCATTGAAAGTGAGCTGCAATTGCCCATGGACACAATCCTAAAGCCCGTGGACACATTGGTGTGTAAAAGGCTTGCATTAGCAGTGATCTCTAGCAGTCTCAAATAATATGTCTCCAGTCTCCTACTACATGTTTATAGCATGCCTGTAGTCTCCAAACACTCCTGCAGTATGTAAGTATGTATGTTTGTATGTATGTATGTATGCTCTAACTATTCCTATAGCATGCCTGTAGTCTTCAAATACTCCTGTAGTATGTATGCAGTCGTTAGCTATTCCTATAGCATGCCCATGAACTCCAAAAACCCCTGAAGTATTTATGCATTCTCTAACTATTCCTATAGCATTCAAGTAGTCTCCAAACACTTCTGTGGTATATTTGCATTATCCAACCACTTCTATAGCATGCCTGCAGTCTCCAGACTCTCCTGGGGTGTGTATGCAGTCTTCAACCAATGTTTTGGCATGCCCACAGTCTACAATCACTCCTGAAGTATTTATGCAGACTCCAACCACTCCTATTGTAGGCCTGTAGTATCCAACCACTCCTGAAGTATGTATGCAGTCTTCAACCAATCCCACATCATTCCTGTGTTCTCCAACCACTACCGAAGTATGTATGGAGACTCCAACCACTCCTATTGCAGGCCTGTAGTCTCCAACCACTCCTGAAGTATGTATGGAGACTTCAACCACTCCTATTGCAGGCCTGTAGTATCCAACCACTCCTGAATTATGTATGTAGTCTTCAACCATTCCCACTGCATTCCTGTAGTCTCCAACCACTCCTGAAGTATGTATGCAGACTCCAACCACTCCTAATGTATGCCTGTAATCTCCAGCCACTCCTGAAGTATGCATGAAGACTCCAACCACTCCTATTGCAGGCCTGTAGTCTCCAACCACTCCTGAAGTATGTATGCAGTCTTCAACCATTCCCACTGCATTCCCGTAGTCTTCAACTACTCCTATGGTATGCCCTCAGTCTACTCTTGTAGAATGTCTGACGTCCTTGGCCATCTCCTGCATCATATCCTCATTCCTCAACCACTCCTGCAGTAGCCAATGATCATCTAGTCTATGTCAGCAGACAGTTTTCTGTTGCTTAATATATACTGAATAATACATGCAGCCCTTTGGTGAAGAGACCTATATCTAGTAAGTTGACCACCAGTGGCAAAAATCACCATTGAAACCATTTGGTTACTTTATAGCACCAATTTTCACCAGCAGGGGCAAGTTGTAGGGAAATCTGGAATTGTAGCTTCCTGTAAAACGTAGCAGCCGCAGCAGGGACATCCCAGACTAAATGCCTACTTTCCTCTCTATTATCTTTTATCAGTGAGATTCAGAGATGTATTTCATATAACTGTATACTTGCAAGAGCAAGTAAGAGCAGTGTTATATACCCTTGCTACATACGGTATGTCTCTGTGCAAGGGTTGTAAGACAATATGCATAAAAGGGATCGGCATGGCAGGTCTCTGTGGCTGCTCTGGAGGCAGTATGTTACCAGTGGCTGATCTCCCCTCCGGTTACTGAACCTGAAACTGACAAGGATGTTGTCACTTCCAGTTTCAGCCTCCTGGGATAACCCCGTCACTTATTTCAGGAGGCTGAAGAAGCAGAGACCTACAGTGTCTGGAGGGTGGACCTGAAGTTGCATCATCAGGGGTCAGGTGCACGAACGCAGAAGACAACCAGCTCCTGATAACTAAAAGAAGAACGAAAAGAATGGCGACGCTGGACCCAGCTTGTGACAGTGGATTGCAGCAGGATAGCATTGGGTTTGCTGGGCAGATGAGTATGTTTTCTGAAGACCCTGCGTAAGAGGGATAAAAAAAAGCGGGAGGTGGTTTAAGTTCCTCTTTAAGCAATACACTTCCTTATAGGCAGAAGCAGAACTATCGCCATAGCGACCCAGGCGGCCGCTATGGGGCACAGTGGGGCCCTATAGGCCTTCCACTATGGCTTCGCAGGCTGCTGGCTGTCACTAGCGGCTGTGAGGAGAAACACACCGCTGTTCAGATCACTGACAACCTGTCAGTGATCTGTGCAGCGGCGCATTCCTCCTCACAGCCGTTGCTTAGTCAGTGACGGCCAGCAGCTGCGGAGGAGGAGGCTGGGCCCGGCAGCGGAGGAGGAAATGGGGCCCGGCAGTGGAGGAGACTGACATCGGATCAGGACTGACAGGTAAGAAATGTGCAGGGGTGTGACCAGCCCACCTGAGACCCTGCAGAGCCCACCATAGAGACTCTATGGTGGGCTCTACAGGGTCAGTCTCAGGTGGGCTGTGTGGGAACTCAGGTGGGCTCTGCAAGGGGCATAACTAGAAATCACAGGGCCCCATACAAAATTTTGCTATGGGGCCCTGTGATTTCTAGTTACGCCCCTGCCTGTAGGTGCTGTCAATTCGGGGAGCTTTGCTTTACTCCAAGGTTCTTGTGTATTCTTCAAGTGTAGTTCTGTGTCAAACCCTGAACTTCTGTCACGCATCTACCCCCCTGGATTGGGAAGAACCGCGCGTAGCTCTCCATTACACTCAGCTCACCCCGGTACACAGATCTCGCAACCCCGAAGCTCTTCTTTAGCTTACAAAACACGCTAAAACATTCATTATTAAAAAGCAATGGCTAGGTACATCTCCCTCCCCGCCGCTTCCGGCAATATGCGGAATTTGTTACAAAGTAAAAGGTTAACTTTAAAAGCACAGAAAAGACATTAGGAAAAACACACAAAAACACCGGCACAAGTGATAGCACAAGTATCACTGGAGTGGTCCTCCAGTGATACCACAAGCAGCTTGGTAAGAATAAAAACGTCTACAGTACCGGTCTCTTCGCAGCACTGGGGTCCAATGCATTATTTGTATTTGGATCTTCACTTGTTGTGTATCCATTGGAGCCATTGAGAGCTTCCAGCTAAAAAAAGAAAAACAGAAATAGTACAGATTAATAAAATAACTCAGCTGAGCCTATGACATTTCAGAACAGAATGAAATGGTATTTGTTTTTGTTAAATGCAGCATTCTAAGAAATGTATCAGTGTAACAATTCCAGGTATTTATTATTATCTCTCGAAAATAAAACAGTCTTTCTGACGTTGCCTTTGGCTGCTTCTCTCTCTAGGGCAGCGGTCGCCAACCTTTCGGACCTCATGGACCACTAAATTCATAATTCCAGTCACTGGCCCTGCCAGCGGCGCCCGGGGCACATGCTCCCCCCTAGCTTCAACACTGCCCCCAACCACTCTCGTGCCTCCCCTTCCCCCACACTGAGCCACTATTACCTGGCTTTTCCCCACTTTTTCTATGTCCCGCAGCCTGCTCAGTCCGGGTACTGACGAGATGCCCCGCCTCCTGCAGAGCCTGCACTGTACTGAGAGCCGCGCATTTCTTGTGACAACCGCTGCTTGAGTCAGTGAGAGGCAGCCCCGGAGCCTCCATGCCGCTTCAATGACGGCCCAGCCTGCACGTCATCAGAGAGGCCCGGGGACCACCAACATTTTCTCGCCGACCACCGCTCTAGGGGGATGCACCATCTTTCTTTGTTCAGGCACCATCCAGGATCACCATCTACTTCCTGGACTGAGATGCCAACTCAAAGATGACACAATCATGTAAATCCCAGTGTCTGTGCAGTTATTGGCTATGTTCACAAATGTCTGATACAGATCAGATCAGGCCCTGCTGCAGCCTCTCACCTCGTTCCTTGCTAGATAGTTACAGTATTACAGTCTGATCACTGGGGGTGGGGAGACTGAGGAAATGGTTCATCCTGCCTGCAGCAGATTGATGACCAACTCAGCCTAGGCAAAGTAACTTGACTAAAGTGAAAGGGCAGCTTTGTAATGATAAAAGGTGAAACTTTTTTTGAAAACTGATACAGGTAATGTATATTATGTGCGGTCTGGCCATGTTTCATGTTACACCTTACAGTAAATATGGGTGTTACATAAAGTATTTTCACACATTTAAAAGATCTACTGTATTATTAAAACAAAAAAAACAACAACATATAGGCACTTTCTTTGGAGTCCCAAATGCTCTAACAGTCAGGAACTTGTAGAAGATTTGAAAAAAAAAAAAATGGTCGCATTTGGTGAGCTCAATCATTGACCTTGTGTCAGGAAGCCAGGCTTGGCCCTTGTGCCCGGAATTCTGCACGGGGCACCTGCGCATGCGCATAGTTTTGCTCACAAAATTGTGCACCGCCGGACGCCTCTGCGCAGGCGTGTGTACGTTGGCGTGCGCATGCACGTGTTGCGGATTTTTGCGCTAAACAGGCTATTTAAGGCTGTGACATTATAACCTCCAGTACTGACTGGTCTTCAGCTGTTTCTTGTTCCTGCAACCTGAACCCAGCATCCTGACTCTGATCTCCTGTTGTTTGACCCGGCTTGGCTATATACTCTGCTGCTCTTTTGGATCTCCCCGACCTCGGTTTATTTTCTGACTACGCTCCTGTCTGCTGCTCTGTACCTCGCTGCCTGCCACATCAGTGCCACCCATTTATTTATTTTTTAATCAGAAATCAGCTTTATTGTAAAAAGAAAATCAAAGTACAATGGTACATAGAGGCATAGCCCCAGAAGCGCGACAACATTATCAGCATGCATCAGAGGTAGAAGGTGAACGTTGATCACAGTAAGGTTATCATGACATAACATAGCAGAATTGCTCAATTTCAGCAGTAAATCCGACAGGTAGCCACCATGGGCACATCTGATGCATCTACTGCGATCTATATGACATTAAAGTCAGGCGCCACGCGTATCGTGGGCCCAGAATGGCGTAGAGCAAGAGAGCAATTCCCAAGGTTAGAGCACTTCGCCATTTGTATTTGCCAGCTTTGTCGTATATGTTGTTTCATGCGGACAAGAAGTCTTGCATGCTCAGTATCGGTAGGAACAGGATGGGGAAAGGGGTAGGATAAGGGATGGAGCAGGGGAGTGAAAGTAGGGTGGAAGAAGGACAGCAGGAATGGGAGCTCAGTTAGGCCGGGTGGAGCAGAGTAGCGCGTCAGACGTGTAGGGTCGGCGTCCCCAGTTGGGTTCAGGGGGGCACTGAGGTCATAACTTGTTGGTAGGCATCCGAACCCTGAAACGCGGTCCAGGGCCTCCAGGTGGATCGGAAGAGTTCCTCAGTGTTCCACAGCGTGGAAGTCAGGTCTTTCATGAGACACATCTCATCCACCTTGGAGAACCACAGCCTGAGGGTGGGACAGCAGGACTGCTTCCACAACAGGGGAATGCATGAGCGGGCCGCATTCAGGAGATGTCGAGACAAGGACCTTTTGTATTTCCCAGTGGACATATGGGTCAAGTGTAGCAGGCAGGCTGCAGGGTTGTCCGTCAAGTCCACCATTACCAGGTCCTTCAGGGTGGCAATCACTCCCCGCCAGAACGGGAGCAGTTGAGGGCAGGACCAAAATGTGTGTAGCAGTGTGCCCGGAGCGCTCTGACATCTCCAACATCTGGATGGGACCTGGGGGTACATGACATGGAGGACTGTGGGGACTCTGTACCACCGGGAAACTATTTTGTACCCCAGCTCTTGTGTCTTGGAAGCCATAGAAGTATGGTGGGCCAAATGCAGTATGCAATCTTTTTGGGCCGATGTGAAGGTAATGTTCAGATCTCTGTCCCCTTTTGGCCACAAGTTCCGGATATGAGTCTGAGGGGGGGAGATCAGCAATGAGTACAGGAGGGATATGGCATGGCGGGTGGGCATCTCATCTTTACAAACCTTTTCGAAGGGGGTCAGCAACCTGGCTATCCGCTGGTGGCGGGGTATAGAGAGCAGGAAGTGCCGCAGTTGAGTAGCACGCCAGTGGTCAAGGGGGGGGGTCTCTCAGGCCTCTAAGTTCTCCCACCGATAGCCACCGGCCGGCAAGATGCAGGTCGCACAGCCTAAACTTATTGGCCTCCCGAAGGCGACGCAGACGAGGGTTCTCAGCACCAGGTGAAAGTCTGGGTCGCCGAGCACCGGGATTAAAGGCGAGGGGAAGGGAGAGATGTCTGTGGAACGAAAGAGTGATCTGGATATCAAGAGTGTGGGCGTGATAGTAGGGTGCGAACGGGTATAGGACGGCATGGGTGAAGAGAGCCGGGGAAGTCCAGCCAGGGCCGGGTTAGTGTCCTCCTCCTCCATGCCCACCCACTGCTTGGTTTTCCGATGACAGCACCAATCCCAAACCGGGCAAGATGGGTCGCCTTGTGGTATTTGGCCAGGTCCGGAAGGCCAATTCCACCTCTGTTCTTGGGAAGGGTGACCGTGCTATAGCGGATTCTGGGGGGAGCGTAGGACCATACTGTAGAAAAGCCGTGAGCATCTGGCGCATGCGACGAAAGAAAATTGGCGGGATGCGGATCGGGAGGGCCTGAAACAGGTAGAGGATTCTCCGTAGAGTCGTCATTTTGACGGCATTACAGCGGCCGAACCAAGAGAGTGATAGGAGGTGCCAAGACAACAGGTCTTGCTTGGTCTTCTGGAGTAGGGGTGCAAAGTTGAGTTTGTATAATCGTGTTGTGTTCGCTGTGATATTGGTGCCCAGGTAGGGCAGGGCATCCGTCGACCAAGTGAACGGAAAGGATGACTGCAGGCGATCCAAGTCCGCTTGGGGAAGGGAAATGTTTAAGGCCGATGATTTAGAGAAGTTTATTTTGAAGTTGGAGAAGGAGGCATATCGGTCCATCTCCCGCATAAGAGTCGGGAGGGATGAGCAAGGGTCAGAGATGAAAAAGATCAACTCGTCCGCGAATGAGGCAACTCTATGTTCACCCGAGCGTTTTACCAGGCCCCGGAAGTTGGGGAGAGCGCGGAGCCGGCATAGGAAGGGCTCCAAGATGAGGATGAAGAAAGCGGAATGAAATGTCTCCGCTGCTGCATGAATATCGGCTGCCCAATGCCCTTGCTTCCAAGAATGCTAAGTAGCTGACACTCAGCAGCAGAGGCACTGAATGTTGGACACCTATTGCCTCAGCAACCAAGGATGCTAGGCTGCAGGGTTGCATAATATCAACCAAGAACACTAGGCAACAGGGGTGTGTCCTAGCAACCAAAATTGCTAAGTGGCAGGGGTGTGTCCTAGTAACCAAGAATTCTAGGCGACAGTGGTGTGTCCTAGCAACCAAGGATGCTAGTCGGCAGGGGTGTGTCCTAGCAACCAAGGATGTTTATCAGGAGGGGTGTATAATAGCAACCATGGATGCTAAGCAGGAGGGGTGTCTCCTAGTAACCAAGGATGCTAGGCAGGAGGGGTGTGCCCTAGTAACCAGAGATGAGGGGCCCGCCGGATACCGATCTGATGGTAACCGGGAGCCGGACACCAACGGGCCCCCCCATCTCTGCCCCAGGGCTGTGTTTGAA